ATGTCAAATTTGTCAGAGATCATTTGGATACAAGAGTCATCTCAAAAGGCACGTGAATGAAGTACATGAGCTGAGCAAACCCTTCGAGTGTGATATTTGCCACAAATCCTTTTCAACCAAGAGTTACATCAATACTCACATCAGTGCAGTACATGAACGCAGCAAACCTTTTGAGTGTGAGATTTGTCATAATTCATTCGGACGAAAAAGTAATCTTACATCTCACATAATGACAGTACACGATTAGAGCAAACCCTTTGAGTGTGAAATTTGTCATAAATCATTTTGACAAAAAAGTAATCTTACATCTCACATCCATGCAGTACATATGAAAAGCAAACCTTTCGAGTGTGATATTTGTCATAGATCATTTAGATACCAGAGTGAACTCAAATCTCACGTAAGATAAAATTATAAACGGAGAAAATTTGAATGTAGGACTTGTCACAAATCATTTAACGGCTAGAAGTATCTCGAAAATTACATTAATGTAGTACATATGGAAGGTAAATCTTAGAAATATGAAATTTATTTGAAATTTGTGATTAAACGGGATATATGCTATGTAATTTTAGACAACCATTGTCATGAACAATAAAGCTTTGCAAACGGTTATTCATTTAGTCGTCGCTGTGAAAATCTTTTAGTATCCTTTCATACACGAATTCAAATATCAACACGGTTTTGTGTACATTTGTTCTTTGAAATGCCGTTGTTTTCAAAAAACGAATTTTGAAACATGTAGCCAGGAGAAATCGTAAAGCTGGCATTTTACGATTTCTCAAATTCATGAGAGATTAATAACAACAATAATTAGTATTTTATAGACGCTAAGCAATGTATCTATTCAAGTTACTTTTAACACCAAAGGACATTCCACACGCGTTGCAAGTAAAATTTTTGATTTTTAACGTGATCCTGGAAATGTTTTTTTTTTAGAAAGACCTCCCACAATTTTCGCAAAGGAAATTTTCCAGTTTCGAATGAACTCCATCCACGTGATTGTGCAAGTTTTGTTTAGATAGAAAAAGCTTACCATAATAATCGCACTTATGTCGTACAATTCCATTTTGATTTCCAAATCCATTATCTTCCGAAGTTTTCATAGTGAAAATCTCTCAACTTTTTACTTCTCTATTGTACTGCTATTTCTCTATACTGTTCTCATTTCAGATCTCGCGTATATTTTGAACGTTTACATTCGTTCGTTGAAATTTTTGTTTATTTCGGAACTGATTTATTGAGCCACGATATTACTCAAATTAATATATATTTACTAAAATGAAGTCAAAAGCTGAAGTTAAATTAAAATAACAAAATAACTCATCTTTTTCCTTAATTTTATCAAAGATTTTATAAATAGAGCGTATATAATTTTTTCACTGCCCGATACATGAAATATCGAACTCGTCCTTGTCGCGCATCCATCACTGCACGCGTCGTTATAAACTCTCGTATAGCGAATCAGGCTCGTATCGCTAGTTGGGTCCGATTTTATGAAAAATAAACGCAACGGCGCAGCAGCTTTTTCTTACATATACGTCCCATTATACGCGAGCGAACGAGGAATCTTAATGCAGTCCGCGGCATTACGTATACGCGAATAGTTTACCTCCGGCAGCAGCAGCAACGAGTCAATGTGTACACACGAGCGCGGCTACTAAGAGCTACAGTGGCAGGAAGCTGGGAATGCGAGCTCGAATATAGATATATTTCGAGATCGATCTGTATGGATTTTCTCTCGTTTATTTTTTTCTTCTCGATAAAAATTACGACGCGGACGCGACATTGCTGGAAGGAAAAGAGAACAAAAAAAAAAAAAAAAGATGNCGATTTAGAAAAAAAAAAAAAAAAAAGATGAAAACACGAGTGCGCGAGACAGCTTTTGCCGCGCGACGTCTTGCTCGCGTCTGCGCGTGACGAATTAATAATTGCCACAAGACGCGCATCGTATGTATGTGCGTACGAGAAAGCTCGCTGCAAAGAAAAATACATATATATATCGCGTAAGACGCGTTGCAGCGCGTAAAACATACCGATATTACACATATTACATACGTATAGCTCGAGCTCAGGATAAGAAGCAGATGCGGCGAAAGTTTGCGCGAGATCAAAATAAAATCTCTGTACGCATATATGCCAAGGTGCATCAGCCTTTAAACCCGCAAAAACAGATCAGAAGGAAGAAGAGGAGGCAAAAATAGGCTCGCGATACCCACGCTTATACCCACACACACACACGGTAAGAATGTAAAACGCGAAACTCGATTTTTTACATGCCCCTGCCCGAAAAGTCGAGCATAATAATGTATCGTGGAAGCAGCTGCTGCATACGACGACGACGACGACGACGATCGTCGAGGAGGTATTTAGGCAGGCAATGATCGAGTTCTTCATTAACTTCGTTCAAGCAAATGTAAGCTCGCGGCGAACCGAATTGTATATATATGTGCACTGCACGGCACTTGCTGCATCGCGCACATACACGCGAGAGAAAGAGAGAGAGAGAGAAATAAGCAATATGTCATCGCCGTTAATACGCGCCGACAGATAGGACGCGAGAAAATCCGACGAAAGAAGCGGCGGCTCGTTAATATTAAATAGCGCAGTTTTGAACTCTCTATATAGACTGCAGCTGCTTATATATACGATTTTCGAGAATTCGCGCAGCTATCGTCGAGCTTTGATGGATCGAGGGTGCGAGAACTATGTTTTTTTTGTTGTTGTTGCTTCTTCCATTTATCGGTTTTCGAAGAGAGAGAGAGAGAGAGCGTCGTCGTCGTGTACACAGAGAGTGTAAGAAGACGCAGAGGCGCCGTGCGCTATACTCCGCAAAAAATAAACCTTATGTCACGTTACACGCAGCCGCAGAGCAGCAGAGCATCTTCAAAGTGAAATCTCAACTGGCCTTTTTGACATGAATAATTCACACGCGCGCGCTGTATAGAAAACTATCGGTTTTGTAGGAATTGGCACGCGGATATTTTTACACGACGACGACGACGACTATACGGTGTACGCGAAGAGCGATGCTAATATACTCTAGTTTTTGACTTATGCGCAGTGCACACACGGGCATTCGTTGTGTAAGCGTATATGCTTAGTTGCAAATGTATAATATCGACGCGAGTGTAATGAAATTTTTGCACCTTTTCGAAGAGGACTGTATGCATGAAGATATTATAACGTTCGTTGCACGCGCATTTACGCAGAAAATGCATCGCGGCGGCACATCTACCTACTTCTTCTTCATCTTGCTATTAATATAAGCGTCAAAATGGTATCACATCCCGCTCAAACCGTGAACTTTCACACTCTAATGATTATTACGCGCGCGCATTTATATATAATAATATTACTCGAGGATGCGTGCCTATTATATACGCGCGCGGCTTTTGAAACTTAATATCGCGCGCCAAATAAATGTCTCATCGAGTTTTCCGCGCGAGTTTCGCTGTATAATGTGCGATCGCATACGACTATATAACGGTTAATTTATATATACACAAAGTAATTCGTCAATTTGTTCTCGCTCTCTCGGCTATATTATAATATACAAAGTCAGCGGTCTTTTTGTGTCGATCGAACGAAGCCGCGATTACGGCGAAACCGAGGCGCATATGTATATACAAGCATATAAGTGCTGATCGAATGTGGCTATCGTTGCGTTCATTAAACGTAACGAGTGATCGATTCCTTTGATAATTTATACGTACGTCGCGGATATTTATACAATATATAATATTTATTTATATGTTCGGCGCGGAGAAATAATGGCACGTATATGAGTACGCGATATGTCGCGATAAAACTGTTTTATACAATAGAGCCAAAGAAAACGTAGAAGAAGAAGAAGACGGGCCGCAGCTTGGCGCCAAAATATTTACCCGCGCCGCAGTTAAACATCCGCTGCCTCCTTATCGCTGAAATAATATATTACTTAATTAAATCCCTCTCTCTCTCGACTCTCCGCGGTACCCACGCGTGACTCCGTAAACATTTCGCGCGTTGAATTATCGTATAATTATACTCCTGTAAAATTTGACTCAACTTTGAAATGTGTCCACGTCGTCGTCGTGACTCATCGCGGGCGCGAATCGTGCACCTTGCATATTATGATATAATGTAAACATCTGAGGGGGATCGGATTTTAATTTCGCTGAATGTTTTTTTTTACATTTGCATTTGCATGTGCATTTGCATCGCAGCTTAATTTATCAAAACCATTGAAATAGAAATAATGAGATAGGCATGAACGATGCACCGGATACGCTCACGCGCGTTGAAATTTGTCACCGCGTACACAATGTACACATAATGGCGCGCGCATAGCCTAAATTGTAAATCAAAGCGTCTCTCGCTCGGGCAAAAGGAAAGCTCTCTCGGCTCTTTATAATGCATGCGCGCGCGTAGACCCGCGGAGAAAACCTACGCAAGATATCCTCCGCGCTGCGCGTGTCTTTTGAGTCAGTTACTAATTTTTCTTTTCTCCAATTTTTTTTTCTGTCCAGCGCCGTGCTATACAAAAGCACAAAAGCTGCTGCAGCACACGCGTACACGTCGAGCAGCGAGTGTGTATTACAATGCCTCGATAAAGTAGGTCTGTCTAACATCATCGTGTCCTCGTGTCGTCGTCGTCGCTCGTCGTCGCTCGTATAGACATATAGCTCTTGTGTGCAGTCAGTCGCTTGTCGTCATTATCACTTACACACGTACGCGACTTTCGACTCGTGTATAATATAGGTATATATATCCGTCACCGATATATATCTATATGTATATTGTGTGTACAACATAGTAGTCGTCGTCGTCGTCGAACCGTATACATATAAGCGAACGAAGCGAGCGAAAAAGAGAGAAGAGGCGCATAACTGCAATAGACGGAAGGGAAAACGAAAAGCAGCAGCGGTATATAGAGGCAGCTTCGAGCCGGGCGTATTGTACGCTGCTGCGATCGCTCGCTCGCTCGCGCGCGCGGCACTTTTAGTACGGCGCGAACCGACACCGGCGAAGGACCATCATCACATCACCACCGTATAACCACGGCTATATCGAAGCTACGAGTTTCGATTATTTTATCGTTATTATCGTGGTTGGTGGCTGGTAACAGTAGGATTGGATTATGACCTAAATTTTTGTTTAGTTTTTTTTTGGTTTTTTGTTTACTCCCGTGTGTGTTATGGCCTGCAGCATCACACCCATTCCGGGAGGAGCAGCCACAGCAGCTCCGAACGCGATTCGTTATCGTCACTAGTGCTGCGTCAAAGATTCCTGTCGAGTAACATCGATTGCTCAAGTTTTTTTTTGGTGTGCATTCGTGTGTGTCTGTGCGCGCGCATTGTCAGCAACGGTGCATGTGTTTTTTGTGTATGTTTACGTTACGAAATACATAAGCAAAGAAACACGAGATGTCTCGGTGTCTACGCTGCCGAGTGCTGCTGCTACCACTGCTGCTGCTGCTGCTGTTGCTGTTGCATACTGCAGGTAATTATAAAAGCGGTGATTTAAATTTCCGGTGAAAAAGAAGAGTTCGGGCCCTGCTGCCGGCGGCGGCGGCGGCGGCAACTTGTGTGTGTATAAAAGGGAGAGTGCAGCACGCGAGTGCAGTGTGTAAGACATATACTACAAGTTATAAGCTCCGACCGCACTTTAGCGGCCGAAAAATCGCATTAACATTTTTGAAACTTCTTCCCCTCGAGCTCGCGAGCGAATGAAAATTACAGGATGTGCGCGAGCTTTTTGCAAAAAAAAGTCCCATTGTTTCTGTGCGTTTACCTCTTTTGGGGACCATCGTGTCCTTATCTTAAATAAAACAATTTTGCCAATCTTCTATTATGTATAAAACAAAAAAAAAAAAGAAGATACATGACAAATGGCGTGAAATTTTAATCAACAAGCGAAGAAACGTATACCAAATAATAGGGAAGCGCACGAGCAGCGCAACGCAGGCAATACTAGAAAACGAGAGCGATAAATCCTGATTGCTTTTTTACTATATGTCGTGCGCACACACTTACAGACCCGCGCGTACACAGCAGTATAAGCACCTTTTGCAATCTTGAATTTATAAGGAAAGAGAAAAAAAAAAGACGAAGGAAAGAATTATTATTCGAGTGGCTTTATACGAAGACGTAAATAGGTACTGTACTTCTGCCTCGCTCGAGCGTAATTCAAATTTTATCGCAACGTGTACGTGTACGCGTGTGTGCATATGATGTCACCTATATACACTTTACGACGCCCGAGCGCCAAGTTCTCTCTTTTATATAATCGATCTTAGGCGCGCGATTGTGATAATAGTGTGTAATAATATACATATATACGTGAAAGAGTCCGAGATCTCGGCGTTATTAATCATCGTTTTTGCCGCGCGGCGCCTCGTCTGCTGCTGCACCGGAAGAGACGAGCGCGAGCGATCGATCTTATTATAATTTTCCACGCTGCGGCGAAGGTGTGTATAGTATACATTATGCCCTCATTATCGCTCGTCGAAAGAATAAAATAATCCTCTCAACCCCCGCGCACGCACGATTCGATATATTTATGCATCAAGGTTCGAGTACAGTGCGAACCGCTCCGCATTGTCATATATAATTATTAACGGGGGCCCGGAGAAAAAAGAGAGAGAAGAAGAAAAGATGCGGCGCGTCGTAGATGGTCAACGATGCGCGGCTCGACGGAAGTCTCACACGTATTATAAAAATTAATCCTCTCCATAATAAATATATGTACACAAGCGCGCGGACTTTGAAACACAATGAGTTTATCGTTCGCGCGCCCACGAGAGAGGTTTATTTCTCCGACGAAACGAAGTAAAATAAAAAATAAAAAAAATAAAAACGGGGGAAGAAAAGATGAAAAGGAAGAGACGACGACGGAGACTGACGAGGGGCGGAGTATAGTTCGTGCGAGCCGCTGCAGTTTATATAATGCGAGAGCTCGACGTGTGTATATACACGAGATCAATGAGATTTTTTGGCAAGTCCACGGGGTACTATAAAATAACGCTATGTACCGTACGAGAGAGACACAAGGTCAATGTCATCGTTTTACGCGCGGCCTAAGTACTCGACCACGAGACTTTATGTGTGTCTACTGTGTAGTGATGATATATTTTAAGATGCGCGCCTCGTCGTCGTCGTCATCTCGTTGCGTATGGGAACACGCGATTTTTCCGTCGGATTTCGAAAAGAAACTCTTGAAAAATTTACGTCGATAATACGTCGTTCTCAAGTGTATATATCGCAATCGATCGCTCGAGACTTTTAAACTGCTTCCACGTATCGCGAGAAATCGGCGTTTTAATCTCCATGCACGCGCGCACGCACGCGTTTCGGGAGAATTCGCGCACTCGAATGAACGATTCCGATTGTATGCGCGCTGCCGCGCCCGGATTCGCGTGCAGTAATATCGATATATACATCGATTTCCCGGGAAAATCGTATCATTGCCCCGGAGAGTCCGAAATTCGAAAATAATGACTCGAGTATTAAACGATCATTATGCTTTGTGCATTGATATACGCGAATGCGAATCGAGCGTTCGATGAACCAACATATATGTAAAACGAGTATACGCAGTGTCAATGAATCGATCGTCGAATTGCCTATATATATCGCAGACTAATAATCATGGCTGTTGGCTAATCCGATCATACGTATACAATACCGACGAACAATTTAAATAAAGTGTATACAGTGCCGCGCGCGCGCGCACTTGCCATTTAACTCGAGGCCCTGACGTTGCACTCTATGCAACTCGGCATGGCGTGTGTAAATAGAAACGCGCGCGCGAGAGAGAGAGAGAGAGAGTAAAGAGAGGAGTAGAAAGAAAAAAAAATCGACGATTCGAAAATGCGACTGTGCGTGCTTTTATCAAACGATATACACACGCGATATGATGCATGGCATTTATTTATACTGATGTCATATTGTATATTGTACGCGCGAAAAGCGTGTCAGTCGCTATTTGTCAGACGCTAAACTAAACGCAACGCGCGCACACACACACAAACATGTCATAGGTTCTGTAATATATAACGTGAATCTTGCCTGCGCGTAATGTATAACGTGTATATAACTTTTATCCGCGGCTATATTACTTAACGACATAAACATGCATTTTTATAATACATTAGCTGCAGCCGATTCCGAGAAAACGGAAACGCGCGTATTTTGCCTCGCGCCGCATCGACGAACGTAATGTAGGAAAATAGTGTCGAATTTGCATGCGTATAATACACGCACCGCGCGTCGTTTTAAAAGGCGGCCGCGGAGAAGCCGATCGGCGCGCACTATACAATACGCGGCGCACACGCACGAGCTTGTAAATGTGTACAATTTACAAACTGCATCGCCGCCGGTCCGTTGAAGAGAGAGAGAGAGAGAGAGAGAAAATCATTTAGGCTCTAGTTTGCGAACGAAAATAGCTGTATTATATACACAGCGCGAGGCGAAGCTATATACTACGACGGCGACGACGACGACGACGACTGTTTAAAAAGCTTTGCGGTCTCGCATCGCGTTCTTATAAATGCATTATGTATATTTATATGTCGAAACAAAATCTCAACTGCAAACATTCGCGTGTGAAATTTATGCTCCTTGGAGCTTTTATAATAATATACAATAATATGACACGCGTGTTGTGCAACGCTATTATACATCCGACATATCTGTCGTTCGTCGAGCTTTCGGCTTTACGCATACCCCGCGAGCCTAAGGTGTAAGAGAGAGCTTTTAAATCATAATGGTCAATTCGGCCTCATTTGCGCGTGTCACGCATATAATGTAAAGAATTTCATCGATACCGCGCGAGCGAGTTTATCTATTTTATTTCATGAAAATAAAATGTCGTATTATGTATTCTTTCGCGTCTTTAGCGTCTCTTTAGCTCTTTATCTATATTAGTTATTACTAATATGCGCGTGTATTGCGACAGAGCGAAAAAAAATGAAAGAAAAGAAAAAAGGATATGCGTCACGTGTCGCGCCTAATGACACGGCCATTATTTTCGATCTACTTGCGCGAGTAAGAAAGATGTATGTATATAAAGCTGCTTCTATCGCCGCCCCTTGGCTATACGTATATACTTTTTCTTCTTCTCCGTCGTCCGCGCGCAGAGATTGATACATTCCAATACCCGAGAGTTAAACGTCCGACAGGGAATGTATGGGCGTATATAACGTCGCTGCGGTTCTTAATTAACGAGCGTTAAAGAGCTTTTCGCGGATAATCGACCGCGAGCAATATGTCATACTCGCAATAACACACCTTTGTTTATGACGAATTCGTTCGATCGCGGAGAGAGACACGCGGGAATTTTCTATAAGCTTTTTTTTCGCCGCGAGAGCGAATAAATAAATGTCACGAAAGATTATATACGAATGTAAAAAGTATAGGCGTGAGTACAATGACGATTCGATCATTCATGAATAATAACGCTGGATGCGAGAAATTGCAGTTGATGACGTATACGAATTTTACAATTACGATCGTGCGTTCTTTTGTAATTTTATATATTGTAGGCAAAGCGGATTAAAAATGCGCTATGGCGGGGTAAATAACAATGCATCGTTTTTCGGAAAGGAAATAAAATTTACTGCCACCGCTGGGGCTCAATTTTTAGACTCACGAAGCGTATATATAAAATTTTATATTCGACGCTGTATCGTAAACGCTATTCTTCTTTTTTTTTACAACGCAGCCGGTCAAGCCGAGGCAGCCGACGACAACCAGCTGCAGAACGATCCGCGTTACAGCATAGATCTCGAGCTTCAACAGCACATAGACAATCCCGACGACAAATACAACAAAAACAACAATAACAATGGCATACAACGCAGTCATCACAGATCACTGCCCGAAAGCAACGACGTTGTAATGGTAACCTCTTCCGTCAACAACAACAGCAACAATAATAATCAACGCGCCAACAACAATAAGTGTCCCGAGGGCTTCTTTCGATTGCGCCGCTTCTGCTACTACCTGAGCGCGGGCCTGGCCCAGTGGCGCGAGGCCTACTTCCAGTGCAAGGCGCGCAACGCCAGCCTGGCCAAGCTCGATCTCAGGGTCAAGGACAGGCTGCTGCGCGAGTACCTCATGGACGAGCGATTCCGTGAGTATATTACACGTATGGGCTATAATCAAATAAAAACTAAGTAAGTATGTACTCTTGAAGAGTTCATTGAAAAAAGAAAGTCCTGAAAAGTTCAGCCCTCTAGGTATCTCTTATGGATCTACAGGATTTCAAAGTTGGAATTTCCCTTTTCCAATTTTATTCTGATTTTCTAGGGTGAATGTGAAAAAATTGTTGAAACACGATTTTTAATATAAAATTTAATGAAGAATAATGAAGAATTAAAATTTGTTATCCAAAATCATATTCAGAAGCTTTCTACTCCATTCAAAAGTGAAAACAGCATCAAAATCAAAAAATAAACATCTTTGTATCCATCGATAAGGCTAATATTATAATATGTTCATCGATACATCAAAATATAACTTCTGATAAATTTTGGTCATCTGCAGACAAACAGACTTCATTATTGAGCATGATATGAGTCAAGAAGCAAAGTTTTTTTCTAATTTTCCTTAATTATGCTATTTTCTTGTTTTGATGAAGCAGAAACTTATGAATATGATTTTGGATAACAAATTCGAATGATCCTCATCAAATTTAACATCAAAAACCATGTTTCAATAATTTTTTCATATTCACCACACATGGGAAGCAGAATGAAATTTGAAAAATTAAATTCCAACGTTGAGCCCCTGAAGATCCATAACGGATGGACCTATAGGGCTGAAATTTTCAGGATTTTCATTTGTCAATGAACTCTTCAAAAGTACATACTTATTTTTTATTTCATTTTTTCGAAGGGGGACAGTTGACCCGATATAGCCCTGTACAAAAAGGGTCGAGCTATTATATGGACTATCTTTCCAATATATATCATTGTTATTTGCTATTGCATGTAGGAAAATTGGAGAGGTGGATCGGCGGCTCGTACAATTGGCGCAAGGAGATCTGGGAGTGGGGCGTGTCCGGCGAGAGGATGAGCAACTTTACGAATTTCGTCAAGAGATCATCCGCCGAGTCGTCGACGACGGACGACCAAAAAAATTTCACGTACTCGTGCGCCGTGCTCGATCCGGCCCACGAGTACAAGTGGGACGCCCGACGCTGCTTCGAGCAAAAGTACTACATATGCGAGGTTGCGGCAGCGAAAACAGGTAAGATTTTTTTTGCTGCTGCCGCTGTTGCTGAGATTATTTATAGACGCACTCCAAGTCTATATACTCTGACTCAGCTCCAAATAACTCTATCGCGAGTTTTCGCAGCAATTGTCGTTAGATTTCTTTTCCTGCCACTCCCGTTAATGAATTTGCCGAACGTGCTTGGAATTCGTGAATACGATGCGATATTTATTTATTTATTTATTTTTTTTTTTCAAAGGCAAGAAGCGCAAAAGCGACGGTGAAGCACCGCAGAATCAGAGATTAAGGACACCCGGGAAGCGAGAGTACGACAAGGAGGAGCAAAAAGACGAGCCAGTGAAGGTGATCAGAGGCAAAAATAAGAACAACGTCAAAAAATCGAAATCCTCCGTCAGGAAGAAGAGCTGGCTCGCGCACGGCAGCAGCAGCAGCAGCAACGGCATCGAAGACAATCAGATCTGGATTCACGGAATCAAGCTGGGCTCGCGACCACCGAAGGGGTAAGAGCGGGAAAAAAGCTTTTTATATATACGCGCGCGAGCAAAGAGGGCCGAGAGATAGAGCGAAATTCTTCGAAGTGCAAATGCACAATTTATTTTAAGATAGTATTTCGTTGGGCGCGTTGCGCGCTTTCTTTTCTATTTATTTCGCTGCGCGTCGTGTTTCGGCCGAGCAGCATCGATTTTCTTTCGCTTTATTTTTTTTCGAACTATCGCCTCTTTGCATTATTAGAAGCGTCGAGAGATCGATTCGGGATTTATTTTCGTCCCGTGCTCGGGGCGCTTCTCGGCGTTGAATTTTGCCAAAGGAAGTATCAAAGATATCGATGTATGGATTGATATACGTTGATTTCTCGCAGGCGCGACTCGAAGAAGATCCACAGCAAGAAGTCCAGCAGCAAGAATCGCCACGGTCATCATCATCATCATAACCATCGCGCGAAAGCGACGGACGTGCAGCTGGAACTCACGAAGCCGGCCGAATTCGAGGCGTTCACGGCCAACAACGACCGAGTCGGCAGGAGGAGATTCGACGAGAATCTGCAGAGATTGAGCGGCAACGAGCCGAACGACGACGTGAATCGACTGCTCGGCAACGATTTCGTTCGCGAAGAGATCCTACTCAAAATTTGAGCTTCCGATTCTAGTTGAAAGTTATAACTGCAAACTATTGTTTTTACTTGCATAATTGAAGAAAAGAAAAGAAGGATAATACTGCCCGGCTAACTTCGGTTCATCATATAATTTTACGCTTTACGTTTTGAAATTTAAATACTTAATTGGAAAATTGCCATTAAACAGTGAAATGTTAGATAACATAGCTTTTTTGAAAAATTACGAACAAAAATGTATCGAATGACTCAACGAAAAATAAGATTAGTATAACTTTTAAAGTTTAAGGGAATTTGTACCATTCATGCAATATGCCTACACTAATTCTTATTATTTTCTGAAAAACGCTTTTAACTAAAAGTAAGTTTTATACTTGCCATGTAGAGAGCGAAATGCGCTCTTCAATATTTAAGATTAAATAGTCTAAATTTTAAGTTATAAATGCCATTTTGAGCATTCTACTTCATATCGAAGAACAAAAGCTTGGATTAAGCATTCAAAGAAATGAGTAATGTTGCATTACAATTTAACATATGTAATAATTATACAAGTTTTAGCATATTGATGTTACTAGCCAGTATTTTAATTTATAGTTTTAAGCATTCTTTAAAATTTATTCAATAAAGATAGAACACTTAGTCTATACTTATTTTAAATAATTTTGCTTTGCAAGCAATTATTGAACCTTACTTGGCTAATAAGTATTTTTGAGAGAAAAAAACATTACCTTCAAATATGTACAGCGTGCATCGCCTTTGATTTCTCCATTCTCATCTGTATACAATTTAAGCTTGTTTTTTCCCTTATCATCTCGTGCAAGTATTCCATAAGTTGTTACTCGCCCCTCGAGTTCATCTAATGTTATATCTAAAGGCAAATTGGAAATATAAATAGTAGTATTATGAGCCTCATCAATTTCAAACCACTGTGGTGGCTCTTGTGCTTTTCTTTTATTTTCAGCTTTTTTCTCTTCTTTACTCTTTTTTATCTCTTCTTTTGAAATTTGAGGTTTTTGCTCTAAATTGGTGGAATTAGGTTTGTTTGCATCGTCATTAGAGTCAGCAAAACCATAATTCATTTGATACCTAGCCATAAAATCATCATCGATCTATAAACAAAAAATTTAATTATCAAAATATGTGCATGATGAAATGTGTTATTCTATTTGATGTATTATGTAAAATATTTATAACATTTTGATTTTTTTCAGGAAACTTCTGAATGATAATACAAATTTTAATAAAAGATTTGGAATTTTACTTCATTAAATGTACTTTGTTTATAAATAGACAAAAATATGAACTGAAGAATCTGAGAAATATGGGTTTACTAAAAGTTACAGTTACACAAGTTACACACAGTGAATATTTTAAATTTTATCATGAACCTTTCGAAGTTTTTCACAAAATTGAATGATAAATTATAATACTGAAAGCATTTAAAAATTGATAATTACCTTAGGAAACCAGCCGTTTTTCTCTTTATCCCAAATGTATACAGTACCATCTTTTGGATCGGTATATGTGTGAGTATCATTTTCAAACCCATATACACCTAATGATTGTGGATTTTCATCATCTCCTTCAGCACCTACACAATTAAAATATTTTATGTTAAAAATGAATATCAATGAAGGACAAATTTGAATAAATGTGAAAAAAAATTTGAATAGGGCTTACACCACTTATTTTCTTGACTATCCCAAATAAATCTTTTGCCAGTTCCTGGTTCCGTATAGATACATTTATCACCCTCGTATGTCATATGACTCGAATAATTAAGATTGGCAGAATTAGATGGGTCAGAGGATTGAGGATCCTCTTTCGATTCATCTTCTTCATCTGTATCAAATTCTTCGATATCGTCATCATTTCTTTTATATACTTTGGGTTTTTCTCTCCAGACTGGTTTCACTTGTGGTACTACATTTTGAATGCTAGTTGTAGGCTGAGCATTCACCTCTACAACTTTTTCAGCTTTTTCTTCTGTGCTAGATTCTGTTTTGGAATCAATTTCATTGTTTACATCATTTTCAACACTGTGTTCAGCAACTTCATCATTTTTCACTGTTACATTTTCACTATTTAAACTTTCTTGTACACTGTCATCACTTGGATCACCCATTTTTTCACAGATTAATTTTTATTGTTGCGTTCATCCAAAAAAAAAAAATCATTACCCAGAATAAGTTTGAGTTATTGCCTATGATTCTCGCAGAATTGAAGGTTAGAGTTTGCAGAAATCACGTCAAAATGTTTTGACACACTAATTCGCTGATTCTTCGCGCCATTCTGAATTACCATTTAAATTATTTTTTTCAAATGTTGACATCCGCACATCGATAATATTTAACACGTAATTACAGCAGATTATAGGGTTTTGTTCAATTTAATTAAAACGGATGAGTTTAAAATAAATAATATTGCCACATCTGTTAACGACTGAAATGATATTAAAAAAATAGTTTTATCTATAAAAGTAAAAAAATTTAAAGTGCGTAAAGATCTGTTTCATAGGTAATATTCTTATTGTCATACTTATTCATACTAATTTTCTCAATATTACATTAAATATTAGTTTTTTTTTCATTTCAAACATTGAGATTCAAATATTCCTCGCTAGATGTCATATTACTTCAAGCAGGCGCGGCGGGCCCGCACATGCAATGCAAGTCTCAGCTCGCAGACGTCTCGCCGCCGCATGCACGTGTTGCTATAACCGTAAACCAGTTGAAATATAATTACAAATAACACATGCAACTTTTTCATCATGTCTCCAAATAAATCAAAATTGGTCAATAAAGAAAATGTCAAATCTGAAGAAGAGAAGAAGTACGTTGAATTTGTGTTCTACTATAAGTTAACGAGTCATTTTATTCATATATTTACATTTTTTTTTTCATTAAACTCAACAGGTTAGATGCTTTTCTGTTTGGAGAAAATATTTATGCATCTGATGGGGAAGACTCAGATACTCAGCCAGAAGCCAAGGCTGAGAAAATTGATGACGACAGTAGTGAAGAGGAAGATACTGGTAATTATCTAGAACCTAAGACCGAAAAGGTTGAGGACGATGAATCTAGCGAAGAGGAGGATTCTCAATCAGAACCCAAAGCTAAGAGGGCTAAGACTGAAGCTGCTTGGCACGATGAGAATGATGATGGACTGACGTAAGTGTTCATTTAAAATTTTTTTAGTAACAGTTCATTAATTGTGATTGTTTTTTAAGGGTGCAAGAAGCATTAAAACAGCAAAAACGAAAATTGCCAGAGGGGAGAACCGAAAAGACCTACGAGGAACTTCTTAGAAAAAAGTTCGAAACTGTTCATAAAACACCACTTTGGGCCCAACCTGATGTGATCAATAAATTTGAAGATGAAGAAGTTCTTAGGGTATTTATTACTAAGCAGCTGGAAATTTGGTTTCAAAACTTTCACGCAGTTATTAATTTAATTCTTTTGATCTCTTCTAGCATAGCCATCATTTGGTCACAAAAAAATCAGGAACTTTACCTAAGGATATTATTAATATTTTAGTATTAAAAAATATGAATACAGAAACACACAATGAAGGACCTTTTATCAATTCTGTTCAGTTTCATGAAACATCAACAGTAGGGTTAGCTGCTGGTTCATCAGGAGTTTTCTCATTGTTTCAGGTAAGAGTTTTTTTTTCAATACATTGATAATAAATACAATATCAATAAAATAATTTTTTTTTTAGATAAAAGATGGAAAAAAAGATGTGCATACTAAAATTTTCACTGAATCATTTAGAAACTTCCCAATTTCCACAGCTAGATTCGTTGATGATGGGAAGGCTATTCTAATGGGATGTGAAAAATTTGGTCATTGTTTTCAATATGACATGATGAAGGATAAAATCAATGAAATTAGGTTACCTTCAGAGGTCACAAACATGAAAGTATGTTACTTTAATTTTAAAACCTTTATTGTAACTTGAATATTATCTGCCTCAAGCTAACAATACATAAATGTTGTATTTATTTTTTTTTAGAAATTTGAAGTATCTCCAGATGGCAAAATAATTGCTGTCATTGGAAAGTCCGGATGGATACGCTTGTTGAGTATGAAGACCAAAGAGCTCATTGATTCATTCAATATGAACAAAGAATGCAAATCAATTGCATTTTCACCAGATGGTTCAAAACTATTTTCCAATGGTGGTGAGTACTAATATGATAACTACAAAATCAAACCAAATGAACAGTTTGATAAACCTATAATACAATTATATTTTTAGAGGGCAGTGAAATTTATGTTTGGGATCTTCAATCACGCAGCATTAATAAAAAGTTTCACGACGATGGATGTCTCTCAGGTGCTACATTAGCTGTGTCACCTAATGGCCAATATCTTGCTTCAGGCAGCAAACAGGGTGTTGTCAATGTATACAAAATGCAGGACGTTTTATCAAATGATCAGCCTCAGCCTGTCAAAATTTTGCTAAACCTATCAACAAGCATAACCGCATTAAAGTTTAACCCAACGTCAGAGTTACTGGCTTTTGCTTCATCAAAGAAAGAAAATGCATTCAAGATGTTACACATGCCAACCTTAACTGTGTTTCAAAATTTCCCGACTAGTGATACGAAAATGAGTATGGTACAAAATATATCCTTCTCTCCAGGTAGTGGATACATGGGAGTAGGTAACAATCGTGGCTGTGCACAATTATACAGACTCAAACATTTCAAAAACTATTAGGAAACAATGTTATGGTGATAAAATCATCTCATTATATTGTATATCTTGTAAATAAATGTTAATAATTTTTATGAAAATGACATACTAGGCATGCAATTAATAATTGTTCGACTTAAGGTAGCGACAAACGAAATGTTTGCACATCATATTATTATAACTATAAAAATAACAGGATGGAAAATGTTTTCAATCAATTGAAAAATAACATTCAAATTGAGCTTCAAAATAGATCATTGCATTGATATATAATGCATATGTGATCATTGTATAACATAATGCATATGTGAGCTTTATTCTCATTATAATAATAATAAAAAATTAATAACTGAAAGACAATTTTTTTTCTTCTGTGAAGTAGCGATATTGATTTGTTTTTAGAGTTATAAATCTAGATCTCGGAAAAAGTACGCTTAAAAATCATCGTCATCGTAATTTTTTTTAAAAGCACAAGCGTTAAGTACCAAATTTTTTGCCAAAAGTAAAAGCTTTTTTGCTCTGCATAACTTCGGTGACTTATTCAAAATCACCAACAATTGTGTTATGATTCTTACCCATGACTCATTGTTTTCGGTTTATTTTACACTTTCAGTAATAAGAATTTTTTTTTATTAGTGCGTCAATACCCAATACATTCAATCATCATTAAGTACTCTTGATCAAATAATGTATTTCTGGTGCATAATTGGAGTTTATGCATTAGCACATAGATATTCAAGTAAAAGTGCATGTTTAACTTATAAAATTTCGTTCACACGATTTATGCAGTAAATATTGTTCGAGGATTCTTTGAAAACGGAACCAGGAAAACTACTCTCTTTTGGTTGAAACATATCGAATTCTAAAATGTGCGACTTCGAAACCACGACGAATAATTTAAAAATTAAAATATCAAAAAGCTTTGTCCACACGCGACTTTTGAAAGCACGTGACCCTCTATATATTGGCGAGAGGTCTCGCGACCGGCACATGTGGCCAATAAAAAAATCGCTCGTCTGTTGAAACAACAATGAATTCGCATCGCAAAGAAATCGCACGACGCGGCGATACGCGGGGGAAGCCGCTCGGGTTTTATTACACACGAGCCCGTAGGAATTTTGAAAAATTCCTTTTATTCGTTCTGTAGACTCGACGAGCGACGCGCGTCGTTGGAGGCTTCATTCTTTTTTGCAATTTTTCGAGTGCGTGTTCGCGCGTCAAGTGCCTCGAGTGTGCGAGACTCGGCGGAATTCGTTAGCAATAAAACAGTGTAAGTTAGTTATAAATTATTTTCGTAAATTTTAATTTCGCTTCGCCTCTCTTCGGTCTATGGGCAGTAGCACAATTGAAATGTTTGATTTTAGATGTATAGTGTACAATTATTAAAAAAAAAAATCACTTTGAGAAATCAGGTTAGTCCGCGGGCGTTGGTGTCAATAAAGTATCGTTGGGAGATCCCCTCGATAACTTGGGTTTTTATGATGAATTATGGTTTTTCGATGAAAGTGAGTTGAAAAATTGAAAAAATTGTCCATACATATTTCAATATTAAATCGACATAATTTTGCAAAATCGATGCTCCGTCGATATCGCGCAGTCAAATCGAATCAATCGTGGAATATGTATAGCACTTTGCAGTACTGTACGAATTCGTGAGCGAAAGAGATCATATCATCCGATAAAAAAATGAGTTCGGTCATGATACAAAAAAAATAAAAAAATCTGCGAATTATGCTCGATTTTCAGTCGGTGCCTGTATCATCATGGATAGTTGTCGCCAGATTCAATGGATTGTTGCCATTATCCTTCTTATAGTGATGCTGATTATGATGGCCTTTGGATATAAATTCAGTCGGTCCAATTCGCATCACACCAGTACCTATCACTCATCAAATAGCCATTGGCGTTGGCCATGGTCGAAAGAGCATCATTGAGCATTGTTGAGAGCTCTTCTCCGTCGGTAAATATTTTGTTGTTAATAAAGTTGCAAAATAAAATGTTTCAGGAAAAAATACGCAAGCGCGCGATATTTATTTTTCGAGTGTTTTTTTTTTCGTTAAAAATTTGCTTGAAAAAGAAAAATTCTTCATAAAGTTATGATTCTTTCTCTCGGGAAATATTAACGTTAAGAAAAAACCATACCAATAGGAAGAAAAAGTTCTTGAAATTGTTGAAAGAATAATTTTTTCCAATAGATATGGGCATTTTTTCTAATAATTTTGCGAGATTCACTTCTTGATATCGCCCTATGACGAAAATCAGTTTTAAAGTACATATTTACAGAATCTTATACGGTTGTGCGCCAATGAAGGTCAGCACGATCGTTTCTCGCGCGTATATCTTTTTAGATAGCGCAGAAAGAGATATTAGTCGGCCGACAAAAAAAATCTGGCCAGTCCTATACACAAAAGATCTACAAAATTTCGTTCGATTTCTTTTTCAGCCTGCGTTATGGATCGTCAGTGAAAATAGATCATAGCCACCCTCACCCTCCACGTGCATCTGAAAAATAATTAGTTCGACTGTCGACATCATTTTCATCGGGCATAAAAAGCATCGCGTATGTGTGTAAATGAGTGCGTAGAAGTATATCTTAGAACTTTAAACTCGAACAAATAAATCAAGTGATTGTTGAATTGCAATGTGATTTTGCCTCTATGGGGAACAAATGAGTTTCGATTACATATAGTTAAGATAATTGATAATGTAAATTATATTTTTCGAGCTTTACATTTTGAACAAAAAATGACCTGTGAATTAAACTTACTATTAAAATTTACATACATTTTTTATAATAAAGAAAAAACCCAACTAATATTGCTTATAATTATTTTAAATCCAAATAATAAGATCAATTATAACACCCGATAAATCAAAGGGTATGAAACTTGATACAAATTTTAATATTTTCAATTAAATTAATTATTTATGTGCGATGCGTGCAAGAGTTTTTTATTGAAACATGACTGGTGGTCCTCAATGATATTAATGGTAAATAAAATTTCATCGTATTTATTAGCATCGATTCACAAAGATATTAAACTAATTTGATCATCACGTTTTGGACCCAGTGAGAATTCTCGGGGCTATCGATGGCCTGTCCATGCAGGAAATTTATTAATCAATATTAAAATTTTTTATTAGGCATTGTTTTAGGATCTATTTATTCGTTGTTTTTTTTTCGTGTAAACTCTATGTTGTCTGAAAGGAGTTTATTTGGAAGTACTTAGTTTTCAATGGCCAAAAAAAATACTCAAAGGAATTGTCGGTTAGCAATTTAAACTTTTTAAATTTGGAAGGACAATGTATACTCGAACCAATCAATAACTTAACTATAAATAATATGATTAAATGATTTGACATCTTCTTTCAAATACTATAATCATGTTTACAGTGAAACTGGTTAGAGTGAATGTTGTCTTTCCTGTCGAAACAAGTCATAGAACGAAAAGGTACATTTTACTCATTAAATTTCCGTGGCACCAAATAGAAAGATTCGTAGTTTAATTTAATTCAAACTCCAAAATGGATAAGTTGTCGTCGGGTGTTGATGATGGATCAATTGCGGACTGCACTGTTCGGAGAAAGCCTTAAATTTATAATGCGTGTCATTTTCGTTAGATAAGGTTACTCTATACGAATGACGAAAAAAGTACGCGGGAAGAAGTTAAGGGGAGTCATACACCAATTTACCCTCTTTATCATTTTTTTGATATAAACCACAGTTTTATGTCAATCTACAATTTCTACATAAAATTGACATCTTTGAGCCCTAAAAAATGTGAAAAAAATTGCAAAATAGGCCTTTGCATCTAAACGAAGTTCATTTTTGCTATTTTAGCCTTTCGGCACTGTGCGCAAGGTCCAGATCAGAGTTTTTGGGTTGGAAGAACCTGATAGGTCTCCAAATCTTCAGAAAAGTATCCTTTATGGGCTGAGTTTTGTGGAATTTTGATTAGAGTTATAAAAAAATTTGTATACCAAAATATGTGAAAAAAGCAAGATATAAAAAAAGTTATCAATGTTTTTGAGCACACATTAAAAAATAGAACTGGTGTATGACTCCCCTTAACTACGAAAATTATAAAATCAGAAAAAGTTAATTATAGAAAAGGATTTAATTATGAGACGAGTTGATTAAAAAGATCTCGTGTCGGTGTATCGAGTGTCCGATCGCTCATTTTATTCGATTCACTCGCGCTGACTAAAGAGAGTCCACTTACAAAATATAATATTACCAAGATAGCCATGTTGCGGGATATTATGGTAATACGATACAACGGCATACGGTCACGTAAAATGCTAGCTTGGATCTACCAGGAGGTTGTTTTGAAATTTGTATCAAAGTCATTGCGTTCGTATAAACCATAGTGTTGGATACTTTGACTTAATAGTCGATTATCGTTCAAACTTTTCGAATATTTTCTGGCGTTGCTTTTTGACAGTCAATTATTCGATACTTGGCATTTTTTTTCAAGTACTGAGTTTTAGAAGGCCAAAAAAGTATACGAAGAAATCAACGCTTAGTTAGAATTTCAAACTAGTTAAAATTTTGTAAACAAAGTGTATAAACAAATAAATCGATAACACGATTGCAAATAATATGATCATAAATTATTTTCACATCGTCCCTCCCCGACACACTGATCATTCTCGTGATTCTTATAAGAAAAACGAATTATTTTGAATATACAGGTATACCAAACAGGAGTAGTTACTTGAAATATGTTATTGTTTCGGTTAATGTTGGAGAGGTAAGAAAAGGATATAATTCTGAATCATGAATGAAATTAATAGCAGAGTGAAATGTTTTTTTATTATTTACAAAAGTGAAGAATATTTACATGAAATATTTTCTTATACAACTTATAGTGTACATTTTGACCAACAATCAGCGTTCTCGTGTACTAGCAGAATTTTTAACTTTATCCAAGTATATCTCCGAACAAATATCACGTTCCTACACTTTTTTTCTATTGTGTACTTGTCTGACGTGTCTTTTCAGGCGCGCTCTTAATGTAAATGCTTTGTGACAAATCTCACAATCGAAGGGTCTTTTACCATTATGAATTGTAACTATGTGGTTTCTAAGGCTTTCTTTATGGCCAAATGATTTTCGACAAATTTCACACTCGTGTGGTTTGTTACCATTATGTGTGGCATCAATGTGAATAGTAACGTAAGCCTTGGATGAAAATGATTTTTGACAGATCTTACATTTAAAGGTTTTACGTATATGTATCATCTCAATGTGCTTTTTGAGATCACCCTTGCGTCCAAATGATTTATGACAAATGTCACATTTAAAGGGTTTTTTGCGAGCGTGTACTGCACTTACGTGCTTCTTGAGCGCATCGTTGTGTCCAAATGGTCTGTGGCAAATTTTACATTGAAATGCTTTGCTCCGATCATGCGTGAGATTGATGTGATAATTGAGGGTTCTTTTGTGTACAAATGATTTATGACAAATTTTACATTCGAATTTGCTACCATTATGCATAGAAATTATATGATATTTAACGCGTTGTTTTGATGCATATAACTTGCCACAAATGTCACATTCAAAGGGTTTTTTATGATTATGCACTACTTCTATATGAGATTTGAGGCTATTTTTGTTTCCAAGTGATTTGCGACAAATTTCACATTCTAAGAGTTTGCTGCGATTATGTACTCCCTCTACGTGAGTTTTAAGTCCATCTTTTCTTCCAAATAATTTGTGACAAATTTTACACTCAAATGCTTTGCTGAGATCATGCGTGATAATTATGTGAGAATCGAGGATATGTTTGTGTCCAAATGATTTGTGACAAATCTTACATTCATAAGGTTTGCTACGATTATGCACTGCAATTATGTGTCTGTTGAGGGGACTTTTTGTTCCAAATAATCTGTGACAAATGTCACACTCGAAAGGTTTGCTTCGATTATGTACTGTACTTACATGTTTATTGAGGTCGCTCTTTTGTCCAAATGATCTATGACAAATGTCACACTCAAAGAATTTGCTACGATCGTGAACAGTTATCATATGAGTTCTAAGATGACTTACGTATCCAAATGATTCGCGACAAATGACACACTCAAAGGGTTTGTTCCGACCATGTACTCCATTTATGTGAATTTTAAGCCTATGTTTTTCTGGAAATGATTTGTGACAAATGTCACACTCAAAGGGTTTGCTCAGCTCATGTACTTGATTCACGTGCCTTTTGAGATGACTGTTGTTTCCAAATGATTTGTAACAAATGTTACATTCAAATTTTCTATCAGATTTGTGTGTCTTAATAACACGTGTTTTCAAACTTGCTCCCTCTTTATTAGTTCTTTTACGTAAAGTTTTCTTATTCGATAATGTGGTTTGGTTCACTATTTTTACCTCCTTTTCGGTCTCGCATTCGTTAAGCTTCAAACGGAACTTTTCTTGAAATTGACAGTTATTATGGTAATCATATCCTTTTCTTATACGAATTATAAGACTCTTTCCATGCAAGTAATTTTGCTGAACTTCGTTATCTATGTTTTCAACAGATTGACAACTTTGATTCTCGGTTTTGCAGATGTTTCTTGATAAAGGCTTCATTTCAACTTTTACTTCTCTGCACTCAAAATCTATAAATATTTTTTCATGTGTGTCATTGGTCTGATTTTCATTTTCTGTTTTCACACAAGGTAAGTCACTTTGATGCTCAGTTTTGCAGGTAATAGTCGACAATGACTTTAATTCTTGTTTAACATCGCAGCATTCAAAATCAATAGAAATTTGTACCTCTGAATTTTCCTGTAGCGCCACAGTCTCTTTCTCTTGTTTCACCTGAAATGACATTTGTGGTTTAGTTTCTGATAATCGCATAACAAAACATAATTAAAATTACATATTAAACTTACCGATAATCCATCGTACGTCAAAGTTTCAACATTTTTGGCTTTACAAGAGTCCACTGAATCGGAGTTACAACTGTCACCTGCATCAGGGACGTTATCGAGCGGCTCTTTCTTCACCCTGAAAAATAATCGAGTTTATTAAATCGGTCCATTCAAAAACTATCATGGCACAAAAAAGTAATACCTAATTGTGTACCTTTTGCTTTTCATTATTCGCTTGATTATATGTATTCACTTGCTTGATTATAAATATTCACACTGAATTTTTACGATTTCCACGAGAAAAATTGAGGTTAAATGACAATTGACACGAATAGTAAACAACTTCAACTATGTAGAACACGTCTGCTCACTGATGGATCTGATTTCTATTCTCGCTGGCGACTGAACGCACACTAATCGTATGTCAGTGAAATGATTCGACGATTTAGTTAGCTCCAAGTGGCTATACTTTCACATACTCTACTACCGTCCACTGTTCAGTTTCTATATTCAATATAATGTACTTCGATGTATGTGAGCACTGCGCACACTCGGCAGTCGCGCATCTCATTGGATCGAAGTCCCGAATTTTAACAAGTTTCATTTTTGAAAGTCATTAATGAAATCTTGAAAAGGAGATGTTTTTAAAATTTGAAGTAGCTATTTTCCTAAAGCTATTGACTTGAATCTTTCTCAATAAGAATTCTAATAATTATTATCGTTTTTTTCGGTTAATATTACTTGCGCGTTAATAATCGAATAGTAAATTGATCAATAAATCATGCACCCTATACGACTAACTTCTCGATATGAAGTTTAAACAATATTGAGCGAGCGCAACCGAATTTTACATATTCTTTACTCAAACATATAAAATGTTTTATTTAATACTTTATACTCAAGCCAAAACATGGGAAGTTGTCTCTACTGAAAATTTAAGAAAAAATAGAGACGGTAATTTTCAGGGTAAATGGGGAAAAAATGGTATGCAGTCAAAATTTTGAAAAAAAGCAGTAAGTAAATTTTGAAGGTTAAATTGACTTGAAGTGTGTTAAAAAACACAATGAGAAACGGCGTCCAAAAGAACCATTATCAAGTCCTGAAAAAATGAAAAAAAAGGCGCATTGAACAGTCAGATTTGGAAAAAAATAGTTCTGATAGTGATTGAATTTATTTTGTTGTGTTGTTGCATGTTTTGTTTTAAAATTGTTTCATTTTGCTTCTCTTAACTTAACTTACTAGCTGAAAAAATAAATTATAATAATATAAAAAATGTTTCTCATAATTATTATTGTAATTGAATTCAAATTTTTTACTGTAGTCTCCAACTTGCAGCAATTTGGCCGCAATGGTTATCATAAGGCCACGTTCTCTATGCTATCACTTAACACACGTTCGCCAAAATTTCCATAGTTTGCATTTCTTCAGTGAATTTTCAACACTTACACAAAATTTTCGAAAAGTTTGAAAACATGTGAGCTAAGTTTTCCGCACTTCCTCATTCGCCACAAAAGGAAGTTGGGATTCTCAGTTCACAAGTTTTACTAAATGTTGCCAAACTCAAAGTTAAGCCAAGTGTGGCCCACACTTAATTTTTTTTACTCGGGCTGTTAAAAACAATATAGCGGATAAATTGCACAAAAATGTATACACCTTAAGCACCGACTAGTCAACATGCACTTCGAAAGAGCACGTACTATCGATCGAAGTAAGACAGCCGAACTTTAATAGTGATAAGGTCGAAACGTTATTTTGGGAGCTCGTACCAATTTTCGAAAAAGGCAGTAAATCTTCATCCAGTGCCGAACGAATTTTAAAGTGCATTGAGCTTTCATTTGAAAAGCCAAATATTCCACCAAGCAATGTGTATGCAATATCGTTCGATGGCTACAATACGATGAAGGGATCAAAAAAGGATTAAAAACTTTATGGCAAGCGAACGACCCAGGTATACTTACTATGCGGTGTCCAGCACACATTACTCATTTGTGCATGAAGCACTCATTGCCGGAATAGCCAGAGGAAATATTAAAATTGATTAACAATATAACCACCTTATTGCGTAGCTCGAATCGGCAACACGATTTTCAAATCTTACAAGAAGAATGGACATCGAATACTTACTTATAAAGATGTGCGATGGTTGTCGTTGCAAGTTGTCGTTGCAGTGGTAAATCGAATCATTGAACAGTGGGCAGCTTTAATAAAATTTATATCTCCAAATTATATCGAAAGAGAAGAAAATGGGACAGCCATTTACTTGGCATTAAATTCCATCGAAATAAAGTGTTACTTTCTATTGATAAGTAGAGCTTCTTTTGAATTGAATTGTTTAAATCAATTATTTCAAAGAGAAGAGATCGTAATCCATATCATTCAAGAACAAGTGAATAAGCTTTACCGAAACTTGATGCTTATGATGTGTGATTACAAAAGTATACCGCACTCTTTGAGTGATTTTCATAATTTCGAATCTATTGAATTTTTAGAGTATCAATGTTTTGATATTCACGAAGAAATTACAGAAAATATTTACTTATACGGAGATCAAATGCATGATTTTTTAAATGTTTCGTTCAATTTTTTTATCAATGATTGTTTTAAACTTGAAACAGTATTTTTTCGAGTGCAACGTGAAATTATTTAAATTGGTTGAATGTCTTCACCAAGAAATGCTTACAAAGCTTCTTATCGTCAGAAAAATTCAACAATTTTTAGGGAATTATTACACGAATGTAGAAGCATACAACGTTCTGAAGATTTAGCTGAAATTTTACAATATCAATGAGATTTATTGCTTTCATATAACTTAAGAAATAAAAGACGCGAAGAAATAATTAACTTTTGGATGCATGTAAGAAGTATACAGGACGCAAACGATAACTTCGTTTTCAAGCAATTAAGTGAGTTTTGTATGCACGTGCTGTCAATCCCGCATTCAAACTTGTTTTCCGAACGTCAGTTCAGTGAAATGAACAATAGGAAAACTAAACTAAAAAATAAAATGTCGATCGATACCATGAACCCAGTGATTCACTTCAGTGAGCAACTAGTAAAAATGAGCGGTTACGATTACGAACTATCTCAAGATGTATCAGAACAAGTTGTAAGAGGAAGATTCTATGACAATAAATACAAAGATATCTAAAATAGCAATAACAATTTTATAAGTAGTGATAATTATTATCTGTTTTATTATAATAAATAACAATAAATACTGCTCAAGAACATTATATTTTAAAATTATTTTACATCTCGATTTCATTTCTATAAATATGAGAAAAGCAGAATGTATTTCAGTGCTTTATGTATCATATAATTATTTAGTACTTTATACAAAGGTTTATACAGCAATTACGTAGAGAAGAGCAAATACCAACTATGATTACTACAATATACTCACTCTGATCAAAAACCGTTGACAGTTACAAATTTATCGTTTTTAAAATGCTAGATACAAAATTATAAATTTTACTTTACGACATAAAACCTAATAGCAGTGCACAAACCATAGAAAACACACGTTTGAGCACCAATAAATGAAATAATTCCAATTCATTTCGGACATGCGCGGCATCCGCCGACTCGAACAGTGCCAACTTGTCGAACATCTTCATTATCGTCAAGGCATGGCTGAAGACCGATTCGTACTTGTCTGTTTTTTCTATGCTCTCGACGGTAGCCTGAACCTCGGACATTATCTTCAACTCTAATTTGCTTTTTCTTTCTCTGAATTCAAATTTTTTAATGTACTTTGAGGCGAAAACGTTGCACTGACTCTCGGTTAGAAAGATCAATCTCGACGGATCGGCACCAAGTTGTCATATACTACATCCTATATCACAGTTATAATACATTTGAGCCGTATAGCCATGTGCACGAGAATATAGATTTTAAGTGCATCGTCAGAAATCTAACCAACGCTTGAATTTTATGATGTGTGATGAAACAGAGGTGGCCTGAGGTCAGATATCTAAAGTAACAGGATAATAAAACTCTTTCTATCTTAATCAAATTATAATCAAGGCACACGAATGCATAGCACATGTTTTATTATCAAATGAGAGACGCGGACCATCGAAGAAATTAGGAGAAGATTCTCAAGTTACAAATTCTTATCTCATCTTTGGGTCTGAGCCTGGGAGTAGGGGACCCACCATCGGGTCTTATAAAAACGCCTAGACTTGGAGAATCGGAGTCCTTAGCCATATTCTTGATTTTGACTTCGAGCAGTAACAACGTAAGTTTTAGAGAAGAGTCAGCTTAGCTGCACCTCTGCCGAGGCAGATGGTCAGCTAGTGCTTGTTATTCAGAGACAACCGACCCGTAAAGAACTCGTGCAAGTGTCGTACATCGGAGAGTCCAAAGTCAAAGTTCAAAAGTTATACTAGAATCATCCTTAAAAAGTTAAAGTATAAATAGTAGTTTTTGAAAATTTAACTTTTTACTACGCGAGGTGCTCAAGTGATTCCAACTCCTCCTCTGAAGATCATTGATTTTCTTCCATCGTCCGGGGCAGCGTACGAGAGAGGCATCATCGAGCCAAGAGGAATCCAGTTTTAGTGTGTGTTTTAAGGTCAAGATAAATAAATTAATGTAAGTCATTTTAAAAATTATATAAAATTGTCAACGTGTTATTATTTCAACACAATTCCTAACCACTTCTGTGAGAAAGAATTTAAATATAAAAACTATGTAATATTTGTTAATTCGGATGTTACAACGTTGAGCTCGTTGATCACGCTCGAGTTAAAACTCGCCATTGCCAGATCCAGGGGTGTTTGACCTGACTCGTCACGAGCTACGACTCGCTTATACGGATGATACTTCTTCTGGCTCAGCTTGAATACTGCTTTCGTACGCAGCAGAGAGTCAAAAACACGTGGTCAAAACTGTGAAAGCTACTGACAACAGGCTTATACTTTCACCTACGGTATAGCTTGCTTCGAGCATGTGGTGCAACGATGCACCTGCGTGGTGGTTTCTGAGAATTTCAATATGTTTTAGACAATTTAGAACACGAAGCACGAGCATCTGTTACCTCTTTCCATCCAAACACAGACTTATCGACTCACTCGTGTTCGAGCAGTCAAACAGACAAGTTGTCTATCGAACGTGTTCACGTGTTTTCTCCAAAATCAAAAAAGTACCGGACGCTGTCAACATGTAAGTCGAAAGTTTATTCATTCTCTTCTTTTTATTATACCTTAAAATTCATAAATTTTTCTCGTGTAAATAGCATGCTACTAGACGCATTCTAATTTTTAAATCACTGCCAAATACTCGCAATAAAAATTCAATAGCCGATGTGTTAAGTTGAGAGTAAACGTCTCTCTCATTACTCCCATAAATGCTTTGCTAGTCGCCGGACTTGGTCAACCTCTAGAGTATCGTTTTCCACGTGAAAATGAAACTGTGAAAACTTTGTAGCGGGAAAAATTATGGCAAAATTATAGATTAGGCTCTTTGCCAATTTAAAAAATCACATAGTTTGAAAAATTATGGGAAGACTATAATATTTAATATTAACGAGCTATTTCGATAATTTTACCGCAGTTTCCTTTCTAGATCGGTTGAAAATATGATGCACGAGCATAGCTCCGAATTAATTTTTTCTTACACGTGCGTATGAAACGTACCACATTGAATCGTATGTTGCATGCGCGCTGCGTTGTAAAAAACTTTCTGGAACATGGCTGCCGCTGTCGTCTGCCGTCACTGTTTTATCATCTGACTCGATGCTGCCAACTCAAACGTAGGCGGCAGAACTCAAATGGTATATTATGATACGTGTGACTTAAGCAGGCTATTATTGCACGGCCCGATTAGCACCCGAGCGAAGCGAGCTTTTTTATAGTACTGCTAAATTCACGTTTAGGCCCCCTTTGGCTAGATATAAGGTGCTCATAATAGAGTCGCCGTGCAAGAATGAGCATCTTAAGTCACGGTAAAGCGTGCCTTTAACGTGAACTCTAGCCACGCAGTGCTATAATAATAGTCCGGGCGCTGGTGACATTTGAGTGAACTTGTGAGATCCCCTCGGCGAGTTGACGGAAAACTATCGTTTTTGGGTCGCTGAAACCGAATTTGAATGTCGCCAGGCCGAATTCCTAGTCAATTTTTTGTTAGAAACAAATCAATTGTTTAAACAGCCATATCTTGTAAAATATTGAAGATAGATTAAAACAATTTGTTTTTATTTTATTTGTCTTTAAAAAACAAAGAAATTCAACTAAATTAATTGAAAATCCGTCAACTAGAAAAAAAGTTATGCAATAATTAGTGTAAAATTCCTAGAAATACGTATTTTTTCATCGTTCAACTTCTGTAACTTGGCTCGTATTAGTGCGGTCGACGTCTCATCGACGTCTCATTTTTAAGGTAATATCCTACAGAATGATGTAACATAATTTTTATGTTAGTCAAATTGTTTATAATACAGTCTGTAGACGTGTATAAACGTAATTTTATGGCACTGAGATAAATTATTAAAACAACGTGGTAACTTAGTTCAAATGAAATGACATCAAAAAAAGAAAATTTTAAGCTGTCTTGAAAGGTAATCGGTCAAGTAGATGCCAAGTTACAGCCTTCTGAGTTTGAGCGTAGAAACGAGCGAGCGTTTAGGGCGTGCACACTGAGGTAATATGAACTCATGAACCAAGCTGGTCACGTGTTGTTTACGTTTTGAGTTCGCTGCCTATTTTCGGCGAAATGTGCACGCCGACCGAGTTCGCAAACCGCTCATAAATTTTCAATCTGACAACTACATTTTACAATTATTATATTGGAATTTTTTCTCTCAATTTTGTTGCCACAGAATTTTTTCTTCCCATCATGACGTTGCACGTGTCGGAGCAAAAACTAACGATATTATTAAGAGGAATATCATCCAAAGAACTGAGTAATCTTTGAGATGATCATTCGGCATTGCAACATGATTCGTCGTTCTTGTAAATTTTCACTAAATCCCACATAATTTCAACGTACCTTTTTAATTTTTTATCATAGTAGCGAACGATTACGCACAAAGATTTCTCGACTGCTATGTCTGTGCTTTCATCGACAATGATGCTAAACTTTTGTACTTTTAAAAATTCTGCTAATCGTGCTTTGGCTGCTGGCCCGATAACATCACATATTATATTTGCAGTTAATCTTCTGCACAATTTTAATCTGTTTAAAATTTTGGAATCACTGAAGGATTCTTTCAATGTAACCATTAAGTAATCTATAAAAAGAAAGGCTACATTTCTTTCAGCTGTCAACATTATCAAATTAAATTTTGCAGTAGCTGCTTTTTTATCCTCTTGTGTATAATTCTTAATGAATATTTTGACAATTTTTTCCAAATCTTCCAAAAAAGGATTTTTTTTAACAAGCGAATCAAATTGATAATGATTTTTATTATTATTAGATTCAGTTATTAAATTTACGTTATTTATTATTATTTTTTTTTATTTTTTTTTTAGACGTTACGACAGTGTATAGAACCATTTTCCACGTGCAGTGACAAAAATATTTAAAATTCAAAGAATAATACATTGAATTATTATCTAAACAATACGTTAAAATTATCAAGATGCCAGGAAAAAGTAAGAGAGGAAAAACTGGCAGGCGCAACAATTCCGACTCCGCTGACGAATCTGTGACGGATACCGCCAGCTGTATTTCGTACGAGGCAGTCCTGAGCGAGGATAACAACTATAAAAACGACGTTGACGAGAATTACGAGCAAGACTCGTGCAACGACGATATCGACGGACTCACGTCCAAATCCGCTCAGAGCCGAGTGTCTCACTTCCTCAAGGTCGGCAAGTCTTTTACGGACAAATGTGTGCCGGATTTCATCGAGGGGCGAAAATTCACGCTCACAGACGCCATCGAGAGAAGCTTGAAGAAAGCCAAAGGTGAGGAACGAAGCGCCGCTGCTAAACTGAGTACCTTGATGTGTGCACAACTCGGCGATTGTGCCGAGGATGTATACCAAGCACTCAAAGCAACGATGATGAAAATTGCCAACGATAATGCGGCCTCGATCGCTGGCAGGACCGAGTGCTGCTGGTCTCTTAGCATGAATCAATTTCTGTCCGGCAAAGATCTCAGTGAATTTCTAGAGTTGAGTCAGCTATTGTCGAACGTATTCGCTGGCTCTTATCCAAAAGGAAATGGCGCCATGGTAAAAGTTACACCCGAACTCGCTGTACTTCACGCTGCTGCCATTTCGTCTTGGACATTACTATTGACTACGATAAATCCCGTCGACGTGAGTAATTTACTGAAAAACGCACAAACGAATACTTCTGTGCCGTCTCTCGATCAATTGAGTGGATTGCTTCGATCTCCTCATTTGGATGTGCGTACAACAGCGGGCGAGGCATTGGCTGTGATTTTCGAACTGGGACGAGGCTATTCGGAAGATTACGAGCAAGCCTGGGGCGAAGAATTGGTTGAAATTTTGAAGGAATTGGCCACAGATTCGAACAAGTTCAGGGCGAAGAAAGACAAGATCATTCAGCGAGCTACATTCAGAGATATTCTGCGCTACATCGAAGAAGATACGACTCCAGAAACTCGGATTAGATTCGGAAAAGAAACATTACTTTTGAATAGATGGTGCGTTCGCGCTCGATACAATGCTTTTTGCAGATTACTCGGTCCTGGCATCAACATTCATTTGGCTGAAAATCAAGTGCTCAGAGATGTGTTCGATCTTGGCAACAAAATCATTGAACCGATTGAAGATAAAACATTGAAAGCCCCTAAACTTCAGAAAACTTTGGCGAATGCTGCAGCTTTTAAAGCACGCACTAAATACAGAAACAAATGCCGAAGCGAGCGCTTGGTCGATTTGGACGCGGACGAATTTTAATTATTTATAATCGTGACACGGTATGGATGTAGATTTTAGGAAAACCTTGAAGACGTTAATAAACACATTAAATTTATTTTATAATCAATGACAATAATTTATTATTAATATTATGCGATACAAAATATTAAATTCATTATATAATTATACACAATACAAAATATTAAATGTATCATATAATTATACACTCTATGTAATAAATTCAATAAAATACAATCAAAGTAAAGAATTAAATTTAAACATCAATATATGTAAAAAGAAAATTGTACAGTAATTCAAAAAAGATAAGAAAATCGAAAACTTGAAAAATTAAACTTGAGCACAGTAAAGTAAACAAGTAGAGAGGTCTGTTGGCTCCAAATGTACATATATGTATAATACCACAGAAGAATAAAGGCAAATGCTGTAGCTACAAATAGCTGGAAAGACTTACCATACACGATTGCCATCCCAGATATCACGAAATGTTGCCACAACGTTGCAGCAACTACGATTGCGAACTAAGAAACGTTGCACTTGTAATGATCGGAAAGGTTTCGGAAACGTTGCTGGAACTGGGAAAATGTCCCGATAAGTTGCTTGGTAGCGTTATAGAAACGTTTCCGTATAGTTGCTATGAGATGTTTCGCTAGGTTTCGGCAACGTTGTGTCAACTTGATTAAAAATTTTTATGTGGCTTGCGAAAATCGAACGATTGTTTCATGTTCGTGGACGCAAGGTTACAGGAACGTTTCCGAAACTTGAAGTACAATTTTCCATTTTAAAACGTAAGTAATGGCAAGGTCCCAGCAAAGTTTCCAAAACCTTGAGTAAAATTTTTACCCCCAAACGTGGTTGGTAAGTAAAAGGTCCCCGAAACGTTTCCAAAACTTTGAGTAAAATTTTTTATCGAATGAAATGAGGAATTAAGGAGGAGTGATAGCTACAATTAAAATATTACAATATTAACATTTAAAATATTAAATTTTATTATAAATGATGTAAGCCTGATAAAACAATCTGTCATTCATAAGGACTTTTAAACTCTTATAATTCAATCTATTATTTATATAACTAGTGAATTAAAAGGAAACAATAGAAGAAGCGTACCAATTATTATACTTTTGAATTCAATATATAAAACAGATCCTCAATATGTGTCGCCTAACAAATAGCACGAACAATGAATATAAGATGTTAGACTTTAATACTACAGAAATATGTACTGATGATAAAACAGACTTAAAGTGGTTGGAAGTCAATGGAAATCACTATCGACTTGGAGAAACATATGTTAATCATATGTCTCTAAGTGAATTGGAATTCGGAGAAATAGTTGAAATTGTCCATAAAAATAATGATGTATTCATAAAAATGAAAATATATGACGAAACACATTCGATGATCATTACATGGCGTATTGGGTAGATCAAAATGAACAAAAAGATAGACTTTTTAATGTAAAAAATTTGTTTGGTATTGTCGCTTTAAAAGATGAGATTAAGAACTGTACATTTTTAGCATTCAAATATTCATTGTGATTGAAATAAAGTACTTGTGATGTACAACATTTTTTTAATATATCCCACAAATTCATAATTTTTGTAAACAAAATGATATCAATAGTCTACAAAAGTAAATAATATACTTGCATGCACTTGCTTAGTTATATAACAGTCAATACTACTGTTCACTCTACAGATTTTTCAGGAGGTAATATAAGGAAAGGTAAATGACAAGCCTTCTTTGTTTTTCCTCCTCGCATATCAGCAAAATTCAAAAAATCTTTGAAGCTGAATACATTGACTGTGTACTTAGGCTCTTCTGTTTTGGCTTTTAACATGCCATCAACTAGTTAGTCCGAACCCCAGGGGCGCCCCCGTATGAAAAAATATTCCAACCTCTGTAAAAGAGTTGAAAACAGCCATTTTCGAGTTTTTTCGAAATTTCTATGTTAAATATCTTGAAAAATATCGATTTTAGAGAAAAAACACAAAATTTCTTTTTCGTTTAAAATGGCCCCGAAATCCTAAAAAAATTAGTTTCGTGTAAAAAATTGAATCAAATGGCCTAAACTTCGAATTTCATTATTTCCCAAATTTGCATGGAAACCCCCAATTTTTTTTTTTATTAAAAAATCTTGTAATTTCATGAACTATCAGTGGTTAAAATTTCACTCCGATCTAAAGATTTTTTCAATTTCGCTACAGCCTCCTTAAGTCACGGTAAAGCGTGCCTTGAACGTGAACTTTAGCCACGCAGTGCTATAAAAAAGTTAACGTAGGATTTCATAATGTACTGTATTCAGTCAATTTTTATTACATGTATTCACGACTGATACTCGCACGTTCTACTTGACCAACGCGGCGAGCGCTCTACTTTTCCTACCAGATACGAAAGACCGCAGTGCGACTTTTAAAAAAATTCCGCCACGATTTCCTCTTCATGCCTTGCTCAGGCTCTATATCGACGACGTGCTGCAGCAAAACTTGACTAGTTGTAATTTTTTTTTTTATTTCGAAGAAAAAATTGTAGGGCTTACAGCTGTCTCTTTTCGCTAGGTATTTATACCCTTAAAGTGTAAGGGAACCTCGAAAGATGTCGCTAACGGATAGACCGAACGACAAAATTTAGATTTTTCATAGGAAGCACAGATTTAGTACAGCATAAATTATGATCGTTCTGTGCACGCATCGTTGTGTAGCTTAAATACATAAACGTTCATAGGTTTCTCTGTACTTTATATTCAGTTACAAATTCGACCAGTTTTGTACCGGAAAAAGTGTTTCTCGAATAAACGCAAATTCGCGTCGATAAAAAATAACAATTCAAAGCAGTTCTCTCTCTTTCACAACCGACGTATATAATATATATAAAATACAAAAAATATATATGCACGTATATATAGCCTCTCACCCCGGGCAAAGGGCAAGCCGCTATACCATCGTCGTCGACTCGGCGACTTGGTGTGTTTGCTTTGAGGGATACACGTAGCGCGAAGCGAGAACGAGAAAAAGACGTCGGCCGAGATAAGTCTCTCTCTCTCTCTCTCTCTCTCGTTCGGTTAAAAAGTCAAGCGAAAAAGAAGAAAAAAACTGACGCTCCCGCCGCCGAGCGCATATATGAAGAAAAAAGGCAAAGCTAAATCTCATTCCGACTCTCGAGACTTTTTCTCTCTCTCTCTCTCTCTCTCTCTTTACGATAAATATTGTGCGCGTCGCCCCGCCGGGAAATGCTGCTGCTGCGCCGATTGTTTTTTTTTTTCGGTAAGAAAAAGAGCCCGACGACGATGTTTTTCGATGAATTTACTTGTGTTTTAATTTTCTCGCGGGTCGGTCGCGATAGCTGTACAATATCGGGAAATTCGAATCGCGAAAATATCATTCCCCCCAATAAAGTGCTACGCGCGTATACAAAGCGCTGCAGCGTCCTCTCCGCATAATAATGCGACCGTTTTCAAAGGCGCAACGACGACAACCGCGTCCTTTTTGGCGTTTCATTGATCATCTCGCGATCTCTCTTTGACGAAAAGAAAAAAAAATCACACTCGCTGTGCAATCGAGGGGTATATATATCGCATGCGTACATATATCGGCATGCAGATATATACGTCGCGCGCGGCGGGCGCCTCGTTATTCGAAGAAAAGACACAGGCAGCAGTGCAGGAAACTCTCGAGTTCGACGAGTGGGCGACGACAACGACGACGAAGTTTCCTTTGATCATCTCGCGTCGACTTTTTTGTCGATTCGCTACGAGTGTGTCTCCGCCTACCTACCTCCACACACACACACGCACGCACACGTATACAATATATAAACGCGCAATCGCAAACTTTAACTTTCATGAATATGAAGAGGCCATAGCGACGCGCGCGCGCGCGCCGATGTACAGTCGATGACTATATACCATATATGTAATAATAACCGCGGCGGATTCTTTTTCAAGTCGAACATAATTATAATAGGCGTGCTCACTTATTCTTCTTCTTCGTTTTTTTCCACGTTTCATCTCGAATCTCTCGCCACCGCGTAATTATAATAATAATACGGAAAATAAATTCATACGCGTTCACCGCGATTTATTCGAGCGTAGTACGGTACGATGCACAGCGAGAGACAGAGAGATATGTGCTACAGGGATTATTCGCACGTATATACGCGCGAGGCGTGCATCGAGCATGTGACAGCGTATGTATGTATGCTTGCGCGTGTATAATTGCGAAACAAGAGGACGGACGACGACGACGAGAGGCGCGGATATAGAGGCAGCTGTCAGTGACCATGGCTCCGAGCTCGGGTGTGGAGGATTTCAACCCAATAAAATAAAAATCCAGGAAAAGTATTCATCTCGATTCGTGCTTGGCTTGACGTGCAAATAACGAGATTTCAAATAAACACGCGGGGGCGCGTGGGCGCGGAAAAACGTATATCTATCCTATATAAATTCATACGCGCACTCGTGTGTATACATCGAGCTCGCGAATAATCGATGAATATAATATTTTTACATACGACGTGGCATAGGTGTATAAAAATAAAAATCAAAAAATATTCATCTCTGAATAATTTTTTTTTTCGTTTTGTTCTTCTTGTCGTTCGACGTTGTTGCTGTATTGTTTTAATTAATCTGACAAAATCACGATATCGATCCGCACCGCGCGATATTTTATACTCGCTAACGATCCAAACAATGGGCCACGTACGTATTTAAGAGTAAACAAGCACTCGATTATTAAGTAAACACGAAATAAAAACGGGACACAAGGGGGGACGTATATGGGCGCGAAGTTTCGTTACGAAAAAAAAATCTAGTCTCGAGTTATAATTGTTGCTGTATACATATAGCACGTGACGATTGATTTCTCATGGCGCATCAGGTGCAATTATCAAGTGTTGCATTACGAGCTCTCGTTCTCGTTTTGTGTAGTGGCTGCCGCTGTTGCTGCTGGCTTATTTAGAGAAAAAGGAAGGCGCTCAAAGGGTGAGCGCGCGCGACACAAACGCCGCGCAAAGCACTACTGTATTTTCTATAGGCCTCTCGAGCCACATCGTCGTCGGGCTCGGATCAAAAGTTTCTCTCTCTCTCTCGCTCTTAGTAGTTTTATATATATGTGTGTGTGTGTG